GAAAGCAGATGCATTTATATTTTTCACCATAATGGTCCATTTGGGATCTTGAACCCATACATGATGCTATTTTGAAGTTCATGGAGCAACCAAAAAATCTTCATACTTGCTCCATTGTGCTTAAGTTCAATGGCCTAGGTCATCCTACCAACTGTCCAAGAATCTTGCTGATGAGAATATCTTTGATAGTTTAATTGAAACACGCTTCAACTTTAAGTTGTGAAGGATGGGAGCCTATTCAACATGGTTACTCACCTCTTTCTACAGCATTGGTTGAACTAACTGAACAATCAATCTGTCTGTTTTTAATATTTTCTGACAACCAACTCGTATCATTTCCACTTGCATTTATCTATCTGGGAGCATGTAATTTGCTTGGCTGCCAGAATGATTGATCACAATAAAGATTTTTTATTTGATCTTCATTTGTTACAGGTTTGTCGGTTGTGTCAACAACATGATGAGAAACCAACCTGTTCTGTTTGTGGAACGCTAGAGAATCTATGGGTCTGTGTGATATGTGGTTTTGTAGGATGTGGAAGGTATTGCATCAATAGCATTCTTCTTTCACTCGTAATTCATGTTTAGAAAAACTAAATAATTGACCCTTCACCTTTTTGGAACTTATGGAGGCCTTTCTGTGTTTTTTGCAATAGATACAAAGAAGGCCATGCTATTAGGCATTGGAAAGATACACAGCATTGCTATTCTCTTGATTTAAGAACACAGCAAATCTGGGATTATGTTGGTGACAATTATGTTCACCGGCTGAACCAGTCAAAAGCTGATGATAAGTCTGTTGAAATGAACTCTCACTGTATGTCACTTGAGGGAGACTGTGGTACCTGTGCGTTTAGTGAGGAATCGGGAATCAGTGGAGCTCTCTTTAATAGCAAAGTTGAAGCAGTACGATTCTGCTTATAATATATTTGTATAAACTTGTAGTGTGGGTTTTAGTCTTATGTTAATATTTGAATGTTTACTAGTCTGTATTACGTTTTTCATTCAAAATTTCTTTCCTAGAAGTATTTGAGTGATACTTATGTCTCAGCCAACTACATTGAGCACTTGTTTACTTGTCTTCCTTAAATTGTGATTACATGTTTGCCATCATGCACACTTACTCTGCCTTTCATATTTTATACCAGATTGTAGATGAGTACAATCACCTTCTTGCAAGTCAGCTGGAAGCTCAGAGACAAGTAAATAAGTCCTCTTGTTCAGTTTCTTCTCATTATTTTCCTTGCAATATTTATTTTTAGTAATTATTCACTGTTCTTAGGATAGACTGCACTGTTCTTTTCTTCTCTTACACGTTCCAGAGTGTATGTGTTTTCTTGTTAGTTTAAATACCTGGAAGCAAATCCATTTAAATATGGATTCTAGTCGCACATATGAAGGCCTGTAAATTCAGCAACGTTCTAAATCATTGATAAATTAGTTAACTTGATGATGCAATAACAAGACCTACATCTGCTTTTTTAATGGGATTTTTAACTATATAATATTCATCTGTGTTTTTTCTCAGCATTATGAATCTCTCCTCATAGAGGCCAAAACTAGAAGGGAGAATTCCATTGCTGGAACAATCGAAAAGGCTATCGCTTCCCAGATGCAAGACATCCAAAGTAAACTAGAGAAATGTGAAGGGGAAAAAGATGCCGTTGCTGAAGCAAGTGTTCTTCTCATTCTGTTTCTCTGGACTAATATATTTACCCATATACAACTTTCTTTGTCTATCATTCTGATGGATTTTTCTGTTTCTCTTTTCCAGATTAATAGATATCTTATTAAGGACCAAGAAATTTGGCGGAAAAAGGTTAAAGAAATTGAAGAGAGGTACATAGTCTTCCTTATCCTGTCTCCACACATTTTCTTCTCCCCACCTTGTTTCTTCTCTCTTTTTATTCATGGAAAATCCCCTAATATGTATTATATAGAGGTGGACTAGAAGTGATCTGGGTCTTCAAATATCTACTATTCTTGCAAGAATCTCATTTTGCAAATATGTAAGAGTCACCGGCTAGTGTGCTTTTGGCTTTTGGTTCTGTAATTTCTCAAAGCTTCCTTTACTTTTATTTTCTCTTGTTGAACGTATCCCAATAGGATTTAGCATTGTCTGCCTTTACGCTTCTCTGCTGACAAAGCAGTTGTGCTGATCTTTTTTGGTCAAGTGAATATTGTGATAATTCCTGCCTCTTCCAGGGTAATTTCAACACTCAGATCAAAAGATGAGCAAATACTTGATCTGGAAGAACAGGTAACTTTGCAGTGGCTGTTTATACCTACATTTCGTTGCTTAAAACAGTAGGCATGTGTTTTAACCGAGGCAACTTGCACAGTTAAGAGATCTAACGGTGTATATTGAAGCCCAGAAGACCGTTCACAAGATGACAGATTCAGATGGCATCAAAGGAGGAACTATATTGCCAGTGCCTCCAAAGGAGCCTTCTGCATCTGCCACCAGAAGGCAAAAGAAATCAGGTCGAAGACGGAATTAGTCGATTACTGTGGAAATGATAGCATGATATCTTTGTATACGGTTAACATTGGCCCAAAATCATGTATATGTGATGCCAATAAAGCAGGAGATCATGTTTTTGCAATTGAATTTTCTTTGAACCCAAAGGAAGATATCAAATTTCATATGCAGAGCCTGCGCTGAATGTGCTTGTCTTTATAGAAAAGTTGTGACATTAAGATAGTATTATATTTTAACTAACAACTCAATAAATTTTAGTTTAATGACTAAAATATCTACGTTAATAAAGATTAGGACAGGGGATTAGTGTATATCTGTTATATAAATTAGTTCTTTATGGTTCAAGTCAATCAACTCCAAGTCTGGACTAATCTGATAGGTAGATCAAATATTTACAATCCAGAATACAAATAACTTGATCAGGAGACCCTGCCGTATTATACCTTGCACTGATAAATTAAGTACCTTGCATGAGTGGGTAGGGCATAAGGGTAGAGTAGTTTTTGCACGTAGCAGTTATTAGGGAAATGTTTGTTACTTTGGTTCCCGCTCTTTGCTTGAAAATAACCAGTCTTGTAAAATCTATTTCATTTGTAAAGCTCGACATACAATGGCACTTCAGACAGTATGGCTGATGGGTGGAAGTTTTTCCAATGTGAAGACTGATTGGGGGCAATACCTTGTACACATCCTAATATTGGGCGGGGTAAGAGGGAGGAAGAGCAGCTGGGTTAGTATGGTAGGTTGAGGACCGAGTCAGAATCTGGAAGATCTTTTACCAATACCACCTACTAGCCCCACTAAAATTAGTGGCAGTTCGTCACTAGTTTTGTTTGCAGCTAAAAAATGAATTCTTACAATTAATATTTGTAATTAAATCACATTTGAGTTCCGACATTAATTGACAGAGCGGATTTGGAACAGGAAAAAGAATCCACTCCAAACCTGCTCTGCTATCCCTACTTGCATGTTGAGTTGACGATACACGATAAAACTACTAGATTTGACACCCCCCCCCCCACCCCCCCACCAACAAAAAGGGAACAGCAAGCATCTGTCGATTTGCTCGGGAAAATAAAAAAATCTTTCTTATTGAAACTACTCTCAAGAGTCACGCTAAACACTAGAAAAAGAAAGAAACATACAAGAAAGGGTAAAACAATAAAATATAAATAACCTACTAAAGAATATAATGATGACTACTCTTCTTTCTGAAATATCTGAATGAAGAAACAGTCAGAAATCCCCAGCCAAAACCAGCTTTTCCCTTCCTTCCTACAAGTCCCTTCAGAGTATTTTAACTTTTATAGTCAGCCCTTTCCCTTCCTATATCCCATTAAACTTGCCCATTCAATTTACATCTTAAAAAATTTTCATTCTTCGTCCTAACTGAGGAGAACAGAACCTAACAACAGCCTCAACATGCCTTGCCCACAAAACAGCTAAAAAATGCCACTTCAAACAACTTTACTACGCTGAGCTGGTAAGTATCCTAAACTATAGTACCTGTTCCACAGGTTCCCCTCAAAAATTACTGTATGTCGGGACCAATGATTGGATGGAAGAGATACAAACTTGAGGTAGCAGAGACCCAGGCATTGGCTTCCTCACCTTTGAGGTTGTTCTGAAGCAGTTGCATCAGCAGTTGAGCTAGGCCCAGCACCATTTTCAACTGGAGGAGAGGTACCCCATTTTCCTTCTGAATCTAATGGCTCAAGTATTTGAACTCCACCATCTGTTAGCCCTAAAGCAAATTGGTTAGGATCTGACGGGTGAGCAGCAATGACCAGTGGATATACCCTTAAGCTGCCAGATATATGTTTATTGTTAGAAATTCTTGGCAAATCGAGAAGTATTTATTAGCCTGGAAAATGAAAAGAAACTGCAAAACACACCTTGGATTAGGAGGTAGATAAGCAGAAGGGTTAATTCGACATCTCAATCGGAGTGCTGGAGCAGAAAGAACATCTATATTTCCATTTTCAAAGCTCACAAAGATTGACTGGCCATCACAAGAATATGTAGCATGTGTGATTGGACCACTTGTTTCCAGAGGGATCCACTGTTTCAGGAAAAAAAAAATTCCGTATCAGTCAGCCTCCTAAATTCCTAATCATAAGAATAACAATACAAACTAACAGTTAAGAGAGATAACAATGTACAGGTATATGCACACCTTATAATGTGCCTGTAATTCACTTTTTTGTTAATGCATCTGACATTCAATAAACAAAACTACCATATGACAATCAGATATGTTAGCTCACCTGCTTAAGACATTCCAATTTAGGAGCTTCATATAGTGCTATTTGTGTTTCATGAACCGCCAGCAAAAGTGTTTGATCTAAGTGGAACTGGACACGAGTATCTGCAAGAGGAGATGCTGATCGCCCAGGGGGGATCTGCAGAAACTTACTAGTTTGCTTTTCCCACCCGTCCGTGCTCCAAATGCATAGCTGTATGATTTGCGAGGTGCCGGGTTTCACGAACAAGGTATGAATATTTATCATAGCAAGATAATTGTTCAAAGAAGAATAAATTAAATCTGAAAAGGAGGGCAGGAAACAAAAAGTAATTAAAGGTTCAATGCACGAGAGAGTGAATGAATATTTCCTTAACATTATTATCCTTTCACATAACCATTAATCCCAAGTAATCTCTAATCCAACAATATAAAAACTGAATGAGTATATGTGAGCCAACCAAGAAAAAAGTGAAGAAATAATTTTTTTGAAGTTGCTGATCTGTTAATGTAGCAATAAGGTTGCTTTATCATTGGATGTGAATTCCCATTAGTTGTCAGTTTACATTGACATGGCCATGCACAAAAATGCAATATTTTTTCATTACCTGAGAATCAGCTCCAGAAGACACGAGCACATTTAGAGTGTGAGAGAAGGCAAGGCCAGTAATTCTTTTTTGATGACCTTTTAGCTTTGTTTTAACCTGTGAAAGAGAAAATTCAAGTTAGCAAAAATCCAAGTTTCCACTTATTAACAGCTGCTATAGATTTCCTTTTGGCCAGAAAGTACCTCATCAACACGAACATTATATATTTGTATCGATGAGTCCTCCATGCCGATAGCAATTATATTATTATCTTGAGGGTGAAACGCCAAAAAGGATGCTGCCGGGGGTGGAGGCATAAATGTTGTCATTGTCTACAGAAGAAGAAATATAAACATAAAACACCAAAATTTTGTAAGAAAATAGGACGAAAACAAAGGCATGTTTTCAGATTTACTCCAAGTATATTGACCAAGACAGAGAGATTGAATAGAGAAGAGGAGCTACTTACCTTAAATGTCATCATGTTGAATAAGGAGATTTTTCCCCCTGAGGCTGACATTACATAAGAGTCATTCTTAGATAATGCAAAGCATGCAACAGCATCTTCAGGGTTAGTGTCGCTTATATCATTGGTCATCAATATTCCACTTGAAGGTTGCCATAATTGAGGTGCTACACTAGCTGTGGCCTATAAAGAGAAGAAATGATCTTTATAAAATTCAAAGCACATATACCACAGAAACAATTAAAAAGAATGAAAATGCAAGTCATTAGCACAAAAAATTATAGTCCCAGAAAGAGTAGGGAAAACGAGAGAAACTTGATACCTTTCCCATTAAATTTCGATCATTTCTCTGCCATTTCCAGAGCTTGTGCACTGCATTAGATGCTAATGCCAATATTGCAAGCCCAGAATTTGTATAAATTAATCTAGATACCTGAAATAATTGCATTTATCTCAAAAGCATAAGTGAAAATGTATATGAGAAAGATTGAGAAGACTTCATGTGGAAGAATGAGTCGACATGCTCTGTTAAAAATTGTAAATACAAAATATTAAAAATTACAACGAAAAAAAAATAAACTCATAGGTAAGACAGATACTTAAAGCAAATATAAAAGTAATGCTGAAAACACATAAAAAAAAGTCCAGCAACAGACACAGACAACTCTAAAAGCCTAAACTCATGCGTATGGATCACATCTCACATTCAGAAAGAGAAAGACACGGAATACGTAATACAAAGTATTAAGATTAGAAACTGTTTAACAACTAAGAATAAAAAATAAAATTCACAGAATAAAAATGTCCCAAAAATAAAACAAAATGGACTTATAGTATTCTGTGGATTCAGAAGATACAAGCATGTAGAATATAAAAAGAAAGAAAATAGATGCATTATAATTGTAAAAACAAATGGTACAAGCATGAGATACTGCAGGGTGTACCCTCATTGCTGTTAAATTATCAGGTAGCCTCAGAGAACGGCACTGTGATGGTTCATTGATTTCTGTTAGTTTCCAGATCCTAGACTTTGTCATCGACTCATCACCAATTCTGGGCTTTACATCCACCAAACTTCGGCCATCATTGTTCTACAAAAACTCAAAAAGAAAAATATCAGGCAAGGAAATCATTCCTGCGGACACAATGAAATAAAATATATTACATTTTTAGTACCTAGACATATCTCCTAAATGTGACATGCATAAATTAAACTGGCAGCTTCAGGACACATAGATAAATAATATTTAAAGAATCTAGATTGCTCATAGCAACAGAACTTCACACTCACCATTACATCCATAGCTGCAACTGGTGTAACTCGCTCCCCAATGCTTGTTCCAACAGGTGCATTTCCAGAAGCAAATGCACTAATGGTGGGTGCCTGTATGACACATTTGGGTAACATAGTTAACACAATTAATTCATCCATATTCATGAAATTTTTACGATGATGGACCAATTTCACTCTATTCCACTGAGCTACATCAATTTACCTTAACAGCTGCAGGAGCAACTCTAGAAGCATCAAATGTACGGCTCTCCACTGTTCGTAGAAGCCTAATCCCATCAGCATTTGCCAAAATTTTAACACCATTATCACTTGTTGAAACAGCTAGCAGTATCCCTTCCTTGTTGAATCTAATGCATGGGGAAGCCTGCAAGTTTAAAGACCTGGGTAATTAGTTTGCAGGAAAGGGAAGGTAGCACCAGATAGATTGTTTGGAATTACGCCTAGACAGTAGTTACCGGTAATCCACCCTCCGCGTGAAAAGTCGTCAAAAGGTTTACATTGTCCATGTCCCAAAATTTGACAGTGAACTCATCCCCAGCAGCCAAGAACTTATTCTTAGTGGTATCAAATTGCACAACTCCCGCAGATCGCTTTCCAAGACCATGGTATGTTCGTTTCACAGCTCCCTCACTTTCATTCCATTCCACTAGATAAGAATCTCCTTCTTTATTCGTTCCACATGAGAACAACCTGTAAGTTATGTACAAATCATATTAATAACTCCATCATGACGTTGAAGATGGCAACATTCAGAATCCCACAATTAAAGAAAATCAGATTTATTTAATGTCAACGGCATGTATAACCTTGTTCCATCTGCACTGTATGCCATAGCAGTAGATGAATGGCCTGGTGCATCATAGTCAACCCTGGAGCCCATGTTATCATATAACCATGCCTTAATTTTTCCATCCATTGCAGTTGAAAAGATGAACTGAAAAATTTTAACAAAAAAATTAGATGAAGATTGAAAGAAGAGGAAACTAATATAATTAGTAATACTAGTAATTCATTAAGAATTCCAAAGAAGAGGGGCCACAAGCCTAGCAATTCAAGAGTATACGAGAGCGTTTATACTTAAATGTGTACTGCACATAAAACCAGAAACACATTCTATACTCTAAATATTAAAAACTTACCACTCATAATTTTTTATTGAATTAGAAAATTTTCTTCTTATTCTCAGAATTAGAATTCAGTTATGCCCTATGTGATTATTCTGCATATAATTTTCTATCATAAACTATGTTCTTCCTTGGAATGTTAAAATTAAAGTAGATGATTCCAAGTTTAATCAGTACTCCAAGTGGCTTAATTTAAAGTTATTTATACAGATGTCTTATCGGTCCTCTAGATACAACTTGAAACTTGGTTACCACGCCTTCCTTTTTCCTTATAGAGAAAGAAAGTGTTGGACAAATCCCTTGATTTTAACCTTAGGAGGTCACTCTCATTCCTTTATCATTGAATTAATATAAAATGCTCACTTCTCTTTCAGACCATTATGTATTTTGTAGAAAAAGAAACTGCCATGCACATGAAATTCACATATAAATGCTAGTAAAAAAACATATACCAGAACGAAAACTAACGGAAAAGAGGTCAGACACCAACGAATTGCAGAACTAAGGTTAGAAGACTGGTGTTTGCTTTACAAAGGACAGACTCCTTACAGCATGTCACACATATCTTTTGGTTTGCGAAGATGCAAACACAATATGCAGATAAAAGAGTTCCAGAACTTCTCTTTAAGAAGTGGCCTTCAACCTGGCATTGTTCTTTCCTCCAGACTTCCACTTAAAATTGCATGTAGAATACTTTACTGATCAGATTTAAACAAGAAGAGGAAATGACTGAAATGGAGTAGAATTTTTGCAAAGCTGAATGTGTTTACCTCACAGAA